AGTTCCAGTTTGATATTGAACAATCACTCAGCTCTAACAACAACTGAAACTTGAGAGTAAAAATAAACTCACCAGTCTGGTAGTAATTCTCTGTGGGTGTCCTCTGAGCCGGAGCTATACTCGTCTGGTAGTACTGTTTATTATCATAGGTAGTCACAGCTGCAGGGCGCCCGTAGTTATAGTTGTCCTGCTGGTGTTTACAAGAGAACATTTAATCACATAGTAAAGCAGCTAACTGCAGCATGATTTAAAAAACCTCACAGATATAATATCATTGCATTAAAGCCACTGAGGGTAAAATTAAAGCATCCTTTAAATTCAGATGCCATATGTTCTTGAGAGTTGGTGCACAAGGGGCACATATAGCGGTCAGCCTCAGTGTCTTAGTGGCTTAAAGTAACATTATATGACCCCAAACAGAAGCTAATATTATCATCAAATATATTGGTAACATTCATCACAAACATATCATTGTAAAAGCAGAAATCAAAAAGGGGACTGACCGAGTATACCTGGTACGTCTGTGGGGTGGTGGTGGGCTGTGGGGGTGCTGGGGGGTCTGGCTGCCTGTAAGCATAGTCAGGGGGAGCCTGATGGCTCTGATAGGCGGGGTAAGGGGCGGAGACCACAGGCCGGGCTGCCTGGACTGGAGCGGGAGAGTAAGACGCAGTCACTGCATGAGCCACAGCTGGAGCCTGCTGGACACTGTAACTGGCTGTAGAGGGATGGGAGTACGCCGGGGGAGGCTGGGTACTGGAGGAGAGGAGAGGGAGGGGAAATGAAGTGAGACTAGAAAATAAACTTTATAAACAGCTTCATGAACGACATTAAAGTGTCTACTTCACGAGAATGGATACTTCGGTACCGAGTTGATGCTAAAGTTTGTAAACCGTGATGGTAGTTGTTATTCGACAGTACCGTAGGTACCGAGGGCTGATGAGGGCAACATATACGCTGTTCTTTTTATATACTAGTCTGCCATTGAAAGCCATAGGAAGAACGCACTGAAGATGACGACAAGTGCAGCTGCAGCGACAGCTCTGGCTCTACTCGTCGAAAAGAAAAACTGTTTTGACATATGAACTCCAAAGAACATCCTGAGAATCAGGTCAGGACATTGTCAGAATTTGCCTTAAAGCATTAAAATGTGACATAATAAAATGAGACTCATATAGAAGGCTGGTTCTAATCGGCACAAGGTTTATATGAAAAAAACTAAAGAGTGGAAAGCAGAAAAGAGTACGTTGGGTTTGATTTTAATTTATTATTACACTGACACTGAAAGTTCAAACTGGGGAATGATAATCAGGACAATTTCTCTCAGTTTATCATGAAAATTCTTCACTTTTTGAAACAACAGTTTAACTGCACTTGAGTATTAACTCTCACTCCATTATGAACAAAACTTGCTTCTAATGTATGTATATTTAAACAACATTAAGAGCCTAGAGCCATGCTACCAACTCAGTGAGTCTGTATTTAGGGAGAGGACCCCCAGAGTGATTGTCTGTACTCTGATCTAAATATATAAGCAATGCTATAAACAGCAGTTGAGATATTTAACTTAAAACCAGAAAAGTGAACCTCACGGTGTCATAAGAAGAAGTCAGTAGGACTCCATCGATCTCTGCACAAAATGTAATGTAAATCCGTTTAACAGTTTTTTGGATACAGTCTGGACTAAAGTAGTGCTGGACCGCCCAACATGTCAACACCCACACAACATTAATTAATTAATTAACATTAATTGTGGAGGACAAAACAGTGACCACTAACATATGATTGGTTGAGCATCCATACACTGGCCTCTGGTTGAACTCTTGTTCCCATCATCAAACAGAGAAATGCGAACAAGGACGACTCCACAGCAGCTTTGTCGCTAGCATGGTTGGAGATGCGAACAGCAGTTACTGACAACGACATCAGTGACTGCTGTTATCAGCATCTTTATTAAGCTTTCAGTGTCTGCACGGACGAGAACCAGAGGGCTAAAATTAAATGACGCCTAAAAGGTCACGAAAGAGCCTCGAGGCAAAATGCTGAGTAATAGTTTATCGGATCCAATGCAAATACAAAACAGTTGTAAAAAAACAAAACAATGTATACAGGAAACTGTTGGACTAATAAGTAACAGACAGACAGACAGACAAGGAGGAATTTGGAAAAACAATTTTTTTCCAAGGTTGTCCAGTCTGTTCATTGTCCATTGAGTAGCTTAATCGTTCCTCTACAGAAATGCCCGTAATTCCATTATCTCATACTGTGGGCAAGAATGTCCAAGATCTAATAAATAGATTATGTAAGTGCCATGTGTCGTCCTCCCTGACTCAGTCTGATATCACCCATTTCACCAAATAAACAGGAAAACAAGTCAATAAGTTTGGCTGAACACTCGGCTGTCGACCTACTTGTCTGCTCCGATCTCATCCCGGTTACCAAAACTACCATCAGAAAGCCTCGGTGTTAAATACTGTCAGTTTTGAACAAGGCCGTTTTCACTCAGTGCTTATTAAAGTTGCTCAGAAATAAGACGAGTCGGACAATAAAACAATATAAAGTGAGACAACATCAATAACTCATCTGTAAGATCTTAAATGACTTTAAGTTTATATGTAAAGTAGCTGATTCACTATTAAATCATGTGTTGGATAAATCTAATGGGGCACTGCAACCTTTGATGTGAGAGACGGTTGAGACTGACCAGATTAGATTAGATTAGATTAGAAGACCTTGGGGTGCCTCAGTTTCATGAGATAGGCTTGTTGCAAACTGATTCAGAGCCATGAAGAAGAGCCATAAACACCCCCTTTTATTGGGGAGGGGGTCATGGAGCAGTTAACTGACTGTATGTAGCCTCTGATCAGTGTTTTCTTTATTCATCAGCTCCATTGTTTACTGCGTTGTAGGTATCTCTCTGATATCTGTGTGAGGTCGCCACAGACAATTTTCCAATCAATGAGCAGAAGAGTAGTTTTTATCAAGTACCTTGATTCACTTCTTTATTTAAAACCAGTTAGTGCACTGATTCTTCCAGAAAATATACTGTATTGCAACATGTATTGATTTCTACTATATTAAATTACATCTATCATGGCAGAGGGTTGTATCCGTATCGCTCACACCTAACTACAGATATTGTAAACTGAGCATCTTATAAAGACTGAATCCTTACTGCTCCTCTGCTCCTCTGCAGCGGTTTATGTTGAATGAAGAATTAGGATAAAAGCAAAATACTGGTCAGCAATGAAAGTGCTGTGGTGAAGGAATATACACATGAGAGCTTTGTGGTGCAGAGAAAACAACCCTGTTTGTCAGGTGGGCTGCTCATGTGCTGACCAACACACCAAAACAGGAAACATTCACAGTTAACTCATTGCAGTGAATGACAACCTAATGACATTATATGCTAATTATATCTGATCAACTGTCAAAGTGGCCAATTAAATGGTTTAACTGTCATATAAACTTGTCAATCCCTGCAGCTGAGTCGTGCTGGTACCCGGTGCTCCACACAAGTATCTGCTAACACTTCCCTTAATGGCAGCATAATGTTCTTAAACATATAACTAAAAGAGACAGCGGACCTCCAGTCAACTGGACCAGGGCTAACGTTAGCCCTCTTAATCCTAAACGCCAAAAACCTGCAGCTGCAGCCACCTCGATCCACCAAAACCAGCTGCCTGACACTCGCCATTACTGACACTTTTAGCCCGACGCTACAGTACACTCAGTGCTAAAGTGTTGAACCACCAGCAGCAGCTTTCACACCGATGATAACCGCACCGGGTTCACCTAATGTCAAGAAAGCCTGTCGGAAAGCGCCGGCCTGCGAGCTCGGCTAGCTGACGGCAGCTAACCGAAGTAGCGGGTCGTCGCTCCCCCGCCACGCAGCGAAACCCCCCCGGAGACCGTCTGTAACACAAACACACCACCGACTCAAACACCAGACTACAAACACAGGCTGACAACAACCCGCATCACTTGAATTACCTGTACTGCGGACCGGCACCATGTGTGAAGCCGAAATAATTACTTGCAGCCATCTTGGCATCTCCAGTTCATTACAGTGCAGACAGCAACGAAGAGCAGAAACTGGACGTCAAGATAGTTCCCCCCCACCGACCGGAGCCAATGGGAACGCTGCTCTGCTACACCGGAACTGCGTAAGACCACTAAATAATGTCTTAGGAAGCTACTGAGGAGAGCACCGAGGGGGAAAGTCGTCTAAATGCATAATTTAAGTTCATTTACGGTAGCATGTTTATAATAAACAGATTTTTATCATTTGGCACTGTTGTATTCCCTAGAATTGCGTTACGCATGCGCACAAAATGAGAAAATTATATCTGCGAATGTTTTTTCCTTGTAAGCCCCGTAAGGGACAAAGGTGAGGACAAAAAAAAATATATATATAAATATATATATAATAATAATATATATGCGTGCCCCCGAGAAACTTATATGGGGGAGAACCTTTTTTTTCGGGGAATGCAAAAGTTTCTCAGTGGAAGCAACAACAAAAAATTTCCACACATTTATTTTTGTTTCTGACCATTATTTTTTATTTCTCTCCCACCGATTTCCGCCCCTAGTTTCTCGGGGGGACGCGAGAATATGTATTTTTTCACCCAACATTTTCCCCTCCACGGTGTCCCTTAAAGAGCTCCGTAGAAATGTGATTTAAATGAAAACTAAAAAGTTAAGAGTAATACTAGGAAGAACACAAGAAGGAAGGAGAGGGAACATTATGAAGAAGAAAATAGTTATTTTAGGAAGAAACTTAATTCATAAAACTAAATGGATAAAAAAATCACTTAATTTAAGCCTAATTATCTGAGCCTGGTTCACAAAAATTAAAACTGCAACGCTTACAAAGCTCGTGTCTACAAAGCGAAGGCGGAAGTAGATTGAAGTGAATCCTCTCGCTTCGCCTGCGGTGAAACTGCTGAATGTCGCGTGTGTCAGTCACGCTTGTAGCGATGATAAAGGTCCAATCTAATGTAAACCCAACCACCAGGCAATGAGTCAGTACACAGAAACAGAGCATCATATCCAGCTCATCTGTCAGGGGATGTTAAACTCCACGGAAATCATATTTCAAAGTGCTAATAAGGTAAACATGACCTGTTTTAAAGGCATCACCTCAAAACTGAGGATAGAGGAGAAAATAATGCTATAAATCTGAAGAAGGATCAAAATGTCACATAAAAACGTGAACTTATATATAAACACTACTATGGATTGAAGGATTAGTACTGCCACCATGGTGAGAGTACAAGAATAGTAGCAGGGGTGATAGCATTGATTGGTTGGGTGCAAGTGAAGTAAAGGACTGAATAATTCAGGCATGTTGGTAGAGTTGGGGTATATTAGCTATGAAAGAGACTGGGGTGAGGAGACAGAGAGGGAGGGGAGAAGGGTGGAGAGAGAGAGAGAGATGCTGTTGCCAGGGAACAGCAGCCACATAGAGGACCACTGAAAACAACAGCAGGATTATCGGAGTAAAGAGACACGGGGACTGGTGCTCATTTCCCCCCAAGTTGCTGTAAGGATAAATTAGCTGCCTCCATGGAGAGATTTGAAATCAGAGGGAGCTCAAGGGAGGATTTGAATTGATATTTTGGGGAGTGGGAGAAGATACTCCAAAGGTATTAGGATCTACCAGCAGAGAAAAGATGGAGATCATGATGCCAGAGCAGATGCATTCTGATTAAAGGAATTTTGTGTCTTGGTGGTGTGGACGCAGGAGCTGAGAAAGCAGGCTGTTGGCTCGCTCTTCACGGCCAGTCTGTCCCCAACAAAGGTGGCCAGAGGCGGAGGAGAAGAGGGGGGAGTCCAAGCACAGAGGTGCCCCCTGTCTTCAGACACCTGCTGCTGGCTAGTGGCTGACATTGAGGACACTGTATGACTGTGTCTGTGGGTGCGTGTGAGTGTGTGTGCATGTGAATGAGAGATATTTCAGCCCAACCACTGCTTTTTTCCCCCTGTTGGTGAGGAGGATCAGGACTTTCTCCCCCTTGAATCTTTGCATCTGTGACTGAGGAGGAGGGAGGACACACAGACACGGAGCAGCGAGAGGCTTTGTGGGGATCTCACACCGCTCATGTGAGTACAGACACTGACATCCTTGAATCTCTGACACCTTAAAACTGAATGCTGATTGTCCACTAACACATGACACATCCGGTCGGGTTTTCCTGCTGTTAGCTGTTCCATTTGAGATGACCTAGAAAGGCTGTGGGGCCATTTTACTCTGTGATGGTAACATGCTGCACATTTGGTGGCGATTCATTTGGTAGAAATTGGTTGTTGACGTGTGCAGCACAATAAAATGACATAATGTAATGGATTACATCTTGTGTAGAAATCTTAAATGGTTGTAGGAATATTTTCTCTGACATTACATTCACGGTTTTTCCAGTTGTCAACCTTCCCATGGTGTGAGAAAGAAGAAACCTCCTTCTATTTAATAAATGATGATAAATAATGTATTCTATTTTCTGCTCTAGCTAATCTGACAGTGTGCACCACACACAGCATATTGTGACATTGGATTATAGATGAATTGAACCTGCTGCTCAGTGGATTTGACTTCATGGTACAATCTGTTGTTGCTCATATGTAATTTAAGGCCTGAATAAATGAATGATTTCCTCTATGTGAGGCTTGGCTGTCCTCCAGTTTATACTCAGCCTCAAGTGTTGCTGCCAAAACCACAAAAACCGCTTCACTCTTTCTACTAATTATCTCACAGGAATCCATGTTGTATTATGTCTCATTGTGATCAACATTATGCAGACAAGAAAGTCAGGATCCCACTGTGTTTGTTTTTATTTTCCAATAACAATATTTTTGTTGCACTGTAGACATGTAACATAAATTAATGCCTCCCAGAAGAGCACCTTCAGTACACGCCTTTCCTCAGAATCTCTGTTTCTAAGAATAACCTCCAGCACAGATGTGGGAATCCTCTGTCAGCAGAATCTGCTCAGATATCGAGGATTTTATACTCGAGTGGAGAACTACAAAGAGAACAGGTCCAATTAAATACCCACAGTGCTCCTCTCCTGCAGCTCACCATCCAAAACTGTGCATCTGTAATCAACATGTCAGTAATTTGTTGTGATAACGAATCCTGTCCTTTAGAGGTATAGAGTGCATCCTAATCCCACCATTGATTAGGCAGCATGTTTATGTGTTAGACCTTCTGTGTGTGAATTCTCCTCAAACTCTCGAGCACAAACGATTGAATATTAGATCAAAAGTGAAGTTTTTCTATCGATACTATTGGTGATATGAAGCTTCAGTGTGAGTAGAGATCAAACAGGCAGCAGTCACATCAGTGTAGCAGGATTAGGAAGCAGTGAGCGAGGATTAGGTCTGCACGTCGTCCTCCTCATTGGCCTCTTGAATTCCACCCAGGAAGAAATTCATATGTGATATTCGACTTTGAGGAGAGCTGAGCTCAGAAAAGGAGTCAGAGTCAGTCACATGCCCCTCACATGTGCTCCCCAGGGCAGAGGGATAAAAACCATGTGACCAACAGCCCCCAAATTGTAATGAACATTTTTAGATAAAATCCTCCTACAATGCTGACTTTTCCCTCCCAAGTCAAACACGTGTTCCTGCAGTGCAGCCATGAAGCTGACAGTCTAGTTAGTGCACTCGTTTTATTTTTACCTCTGTTATTGTAAACGGTCTTCATTGATAGATGTTTATGTTCACACCTCCAGGCCCCTGCTCTCCTCTCCAAGGGATGGGCACCACAGAGGCGACTCTACGAATGGAGAACATGGAAGTGAAAGACGAGTGGCAGGATGAAGACTTTCCCAGGTGAACACCTTTAACTTCTCACTGGTCATCATTACGGCTGTTTATTGGCAATAAATATACAATTCAATATCTGCATCATATTGAGATACCGTACACAAGGCAATATATTGCACATTTTCTCAAAATGTTTTTTTTTTTTTAGTTAGAAAAAAAGTTAAAGGTCCAGTGTGTAGGTGTAATTGCAGATTGCAACTCACTTACTTCGCCCTCCCCTTCCAAGCATGAGGGAGAAACAATCCTATCTAGAGGTTTTGGTTTGTCCGTTCTGACTAATGAAAACATATCTATGAATTTTATATTCCCTTTCTGCCAATAGAGCCTCCTAAATGTTACACACTGGACCTTTAAACAAAACAATGAGATCTGCATTTGTGTTCATCACACACACAAAAATCTAAATACTGTAATATATCACAATATGATATTTTTCAATATTATCTTACACCCCCAGTCATTACCAATAAAACTGTCTTATTGATGGCAAGTACAGCCTTGTAGCATCTGTTAGAGCTATATGGCACATTCTTGTGTATGTGTGTGTCGATGAATATGCAGAACATTTTAATTTGCAGATGAATAGCTCATTATTTAGGATTAAGTGTGCAGTTAATTATCAATTAATTGCCAAACAGGGTTTTATTTATGGGCCAGCTGCACCATATTACTTCCAGTACAGTTTAGTCTGGGTGGATTTAGAAGCAGTGCTAATTATGTCTATTGTTTGTTTGTAGACTTTTTTTATTTAATAGGAATGAATAAATGTTCTATTGTAATTGAATGTTTTAATAATTATTGTGTTTGTGTGAAATGATGTAAAATCATGTGTACAGCCAGGTTTGAGCACAGTGTGATATTGTTCTATTATAGTGTTGAATGTAAGAGGCTCTGAGAAGGAGTAAAAAGAGAAACAGTGAAAGATAAATGAAGGAAAAGATATTCTTAATGCGCCATAAAGATGGCTACAGAAGGGTTTAAGAAAGTGTGTGAATTTGATGTTCAGAGGTTGAGGTGCAGAGCAGAAAAAGAGCAGAGGAGAAGTGTGATGACAGTCAGCGCTGGGCTCCCTCCTCCTCCTCCTCCTCCTCCTCCCTCTTCCCTCCTCCTCTGTCAGATTGGGAGGCAGGAAGCCAGGGAGCAGGTGCAGCTCTGTCTGTAAATGGTCTCAGGCTACGTCATGTGACGCAACAGCAGTCGCTGATCAACAACACAGCATCGCCAGGAAAATGGTGGCAGGTTTTGGTTAAAGACAGACAGACACGGAGGACCAGCCAGCAGCAAAAGGATTATTAAAGTAGACCTCTGAGAGATGCTCTGCTCTAGACTGCCTGCCATCAGCTGAGGAGACAGGGAATGAGTAAGCAGATATAAAGGTGTGAGAGGTTAAAAAAGCTCATTTGAATCGGCTCTGACAAAAGCAGCTAATTCCAGAAGGTAAGCATCATCGGTTCATCCTGATATTGATGTTTGTATCTGAAGGACAAAGCGGCCATAAACAGGAACAAAAGAGATTATGTTGCTTTTGTTAAAAGAGAAAATATATCCATAAATCTGTTTTGTTTATAGAAAAAGGGCTTCATGCCTGACAAAGGAAGTGTTGGGCTAGTAATCACTGCAGGGGTCCCCGGGGGGAATAGTGTCGGTCTGTTCATCAGTTCATCTGTTTCTCTGGGCTAAAGCCAGTATTGTTGGCTGATGAGGAGCACACACTGTCACACTGTCCTCCTCTAGATGGGAGGATGAAGCAGTTGGCTTTCACAGGACTGCAGCGAAGTCCCTCTCTGCTGAACAACACTGCGCTGTAGCTCTCTCTGTGTCTCCTGCGTTTTTAACTATTTTAGTTGTTGCAACCTTGTCTCCCGTTCCTCGGTTGCACTGGGTGTTGTTTGGTGATATGCAACACAAACACACACACAAACAGGCAAGATTGTGACCCAATGTCTGTTCCTCCTTCTGTGCAGTGTGTCAGCAGTAAATAACAGGCAGCGTAAAGGGAGAGAGAGCTGCACCACTTTGCCTGTATGCAAAGACACACTTCCTCCCCCATTCTGTCTCTTATTCCTCCCCTTTTCTCCTTTATTTCTCCTCGCCTGGCAGCCCTGTAATCTTCATCTCTCCCCAGAGAGAAGTTAATTAGCATCTCTATCCTCTTCTGCTGCTTGCTACTCTTTTTAGTGCTTAGCCAGATCAGTGACAACACCCACGTCTTGACTGGTCCGTTGTACGGCATCCTAATCACAGTGTTACATTTTATTGTGAGGCCATAGTTATTAACTAGTGCCTGTTAAAGAACATGGATCAGGAAAAACATAAAATAAATAATATTATCCTAAAGCTAAGGTTGCTTTCAGGACCCAGTAACAGATCTTTATATGTGACTTTCTTTATATTGTGTATTCTACTCAATAAGCACAGTAGCTACTGGTTACTTACCTGTGTGTGTTTCCCTCCAGACCACTACCAGAGTACGGAGACATGGATTCCTCTTGTGGTCTCACAGACGACAGAGCCTGTAAGTAACACTGAGGGTTGTTGGGTCAATAATGGAAACATCACAATATCCCCACTTTACAATATCAATTACTTTTCCTGGTCTTCTGATATTGCTGCAGCTCCCCCAAACTCCCTGAATGTGAGCCCACCTGGAGGAGGCGGCGGCGTGTCCTCATCTCACCGTAAACGGCGTACACTGGTTGCCCCGGATATGAACCTTTCACTGGACCAAAGTGAGGGTTCTTTGCTCTCAGATGACTTCCTGGATACACCGGACGACCTGGACATCAATGTTGATGACATCGATACACCTGATGAGACGGACTCGCTGGAGTTCATCACCAATGGCAACGAGCTGGAGTGGGAAGGTAGGTGGTTAAAAATGCACACGCTTTAACCCGTTTCATTATCCGTATGTGAAGCTATAACACTGATCTTCAACTTTCAGAACTGCCTTTAAGATGATGTTTTCAGTTTAATTCATATGAACCTTGATGTAATATCTGAGTCTATATACTGGACCCTACAGAAATAATAACATATTTTATTGTTAGCATATTATTAACGTTCCCTCCAAGTTTTATTTTTCCAGTTCTCTTTTTAATTTAATCAAATTTTCTTGTTTGTATATTTCATTTTCTGTACTTTTACTTTTACATACTTTGTACCTTGAAAAGTACTGTTTGAGTTTTTATTATTATATTTATATATTCTAACCCTACAGTCTGCAAATTGTCCTCACAAATGTATCTACAACTGAAGAGTTAAGATATCTTCAAACTAAACTTTATTAACATTTCATTACAAAGTCCCAATCCTGTCCTAATATTACATCTTAATCTTTTGACAGTAATTTGACTTGTAAACCCCACTCAACAGCAACCTACAGACAGTCAATATATTTTACCCTTTATTGGATCTGACGCTGTGCAGCGTGGTACATGTTTCAGTGCAGATTTTAGACCCAAATCTGTCTCTCTGTCTGTCCAGATGACACACCGGTGGCCTCAGCCAAAGCAGGTCCTGCTGACGGCTCAAGAGATGTGGACGAGGAGGGTAACACCAATAACGGACGCCTCTGGAGGACAGTGATCATCGGGGAACAGGAACATCGTATTGACATGCAGGTCATCAGACCTTACCTCCGAGTCATCACACATGGAGGTCAGTGAAAGGACAGAAAACAATCTGATAACTCATGACTGGCTTCGGAAGATGGTTCCCAGTACAAAACTAACATAATAAAATACGCAGCTCATGTAATATGATGAGACCAGTGTTTATTTTTAAGTATGCTGACGCATTGTTCACTATTAACTGAAACTCTCTCCTATCAGGTTATTATGGCGAGGGCCTTAATGCCATCATTGTTTTCTCTGCCTGTTACCTGCCTGACAGCAGCTGTCCAGACTACCACTACATAATGGAAAACCTCTTCTTGTGAGTCTTTTATTTTGTGCAGGCTTTGATGCTGTGTATGGATGGATTGCTGAATACGGGTCAGAAGTAACTGTTAACATGACAGTCTGGTCAAAATTATGCATGTTCTTGATGATATTTTATTCTTTCCCGGTTCTTTTTTATGTGTCTGTGCTGCTGTTGTCTCACAATCCGTCCATGACGCTGTACTGTTTCCTGCAGGTATGTGGTGAGCAGTCTGGAGATGCTTGTCGCTGAAGATTACCTGATCATCTACATGAACGGAGCCACTCCTCGGAGTAAGATGCCTGGGATCAGCTGGTTAAAGAAATGTTACCAGATGATTGACCGGAGGTGGGAAAAGGAGAAACTATTGATTGATATGCGATATGTGTATAAAACAAGTTTTCTGAACTGAAATATGAATTAGGCCCTCTAAAGTTGTCACTTGTTGTCAGTCAGTAGGAGACTGAAGATGACTCACAGGCTCCATTTACAGCAATTTAGATACAACCTCTTTGTTATTCTCTGTTTATTTTTTAATGTATATATGTTAATATGATCATTTTAGCCTTCAAACTTGTAAGCACAAACCTTACTATGAACTGTGTATTTGTGTTGTGATTGTAGACTGAGGAAGAACCTGAAGTCTTTGGTCATCGCTCATCCCACATGGTTCATACGCACTGTCCTGGCTATATCCAGGCCCTTTATCAGGTAATAGACACACAAAGCAACAACTTAAAGTGTGAGACCTGGTCCTCAAGTTAAAATGTGTTTTCAAGTATTAATCGCAGTGAACTGATGAGGACCAGACTTTGATTTTAATTCATCCTTGCTGTATGAAATGCCTTGTACGTGAATCTCGGGACAGTTTTCACTTCAATGTTATTGCATGTTTTGGCTGATTCATTCTTAACTGTTTATTTAATCCAAAAGCATCTGTGCCTTTTACACTTAAGAACTCAGCATACAATTTCTACTGAATTTGTAGTGAATGCTGCATATTTCATATTGACTGAATCACTATGGCATCAGTGATTCATGTTGTTGTTGTTGTTGTCTTCTGCAGTGTGAAGTTCATGAATAAGATCCAGTACGTCCACAGCCTAGATGAACTGGCAGAGATCGTCCCCATGGAGCACGTCCATGTCCCCGAGGGTGTGGTGCAGTAAGTGTCTCTGACCACTAGATGGAGAAAGTGAGCTGTAGCTGTGATCCTTTAGGCAGCAGTTGCACCTTCTGTCCTATTATTCGTGTAAACCGTAGGGAGAATAAGTCTGATGTGACCTTTATTGTGTTTTAAGAAAAGTAAAATAATATTAGTTCTCTTATTTATTACTGTGTGGAATGAGGATGTAACTGTATTACAAATTTTTCAGATTTGACGAGGAGAGGATTAAAGCACGGAGAGAAAGGTAAAATACTTTTATCATTTATTGTTTCATTTTCATAAATGGTACATATATATTGCTCATAAAGAATTGCATTAAAAACTAACCGTGGTTTAAGCACTTAATTTGAATTGATTGGATACCAAAGACTACTTTTAGATTGCCCAACAAATGGGTAACTCTGTGTGTGTGTGTGTAGGATGGAGCAGGAGCACAGACAGCACCAGCAGTCAGTCCCACAGGAGCCAATTAAAAAGTCTGAGAGGTACTGGTCCACCCTAGATTTTAAAACCTGTCATATTTTCACATCGGGCATTTTACTAGTTGGGACATTCATCACATTTCTGGTTCACTGTCTTCTTTCCAACTTAAAAAAAAATAAGGTTCTCAGTGTCCTTTTCCCTCATTTTCAGGCCGAAGTCAATGATTGTAGATCAAGGATTATGAGAAGGACTGAGCTTTGCAGGTGAAGGTAATATAAAACTCTTATTTCACATAGCCCTTTACATCTACACACAAATGTCCTAATTGTGGGTGTACAGTATATGGGGCAAAGGTATATGATATCAGTGCAACAATGAAAGCTAAAGTGGAGTCTAATTAAAGCTGAGAAGCTGAATATTGTAGATTAATATGCAGTACAATCATGTCATCTTTGCACAATAACTATCTATTGTACAGTATAAACAGGGGAGATATTTGTCTGTAGTTTGGTATGTTTTGCAGACCTTTATACTTTTAGATGGACTTTTTTTTCAGCTTTTCAGAATAGCTTCTCTCAACTGTCCTTTTCCTCTCTTCAGTGCTTGTTATACAAGGTCCTGTCCATTTCAGTGCAGAACACAGTGTATGCCCTTGAGGGAGAACACATTTCCTTACAAACGTGTATATAAAATGACACAAGTTTGTCTATCTGGTCCAATACGAAATGAAGAAAGAGATACATTTTATTATATCATATTTAGATTAAACAGCATCCATTAGTAACATAACAGTCATACCAGCAGCACCCTTTAGAGCCAGAGTGTTAACGAGGTACATACTTTATGAGCTGGTTTAAACCAGCTGACTGTAGGATATATACAGTGGTGTGCAGTAGTGTGAATGTGTCACTGAAGGTCAAAAGACTGAAACGCCAATGAAATACACTGAAGTTAAAACCGTGAACAGGATGCCAGTACAGGGGTAAGAATGTCCTTGTATAACTTCAGAGTTAAACAGGAGCAGTGACTTTTGGTGAATTAACAACAGTTTATTTTTACATGTCAGGATCAGTAGTTTGCCTATTTTGCAGTTAAATTAATCTTATAAAGTACATCAAACAGGTATTTCATAGAGTTTGATTAAAACAACTGACTGAGTACCTTTTTTCATTTACAGAGGCAAATTTACACATTTCCTTGTTTCAATTTTAATTTGAGCAGCAAAATGTTTTTATTGTCCCATTAAACTTTCATCATCTACAAATATTATTTCCCTGTCTTTACGCAGTGTGTGACAGACATATGGAGCATGAACCTTTATACCAATACAAAGCAGTGGTCCAACAAACCTACATGTGCTTCCTTGTTTTACCAACATCCAACTGATGATTTGCTGCCATCCTTTTCCGATCAAGATGGTGAACGCTGTGTCTCATTTTCCTTCTGTGTGGAACCCTGTCTTCATCTCTACCAGAGGGTTTCATATTGCAAAATGGTACGAAGGAAGCCACTGCTCTGTAACAAGAAGTGTTTAACAGTGGAAGCTGTTGTTGGGCTCATCGATTCATTGACCAGCTGTGTGGTCAGACAGGTCGTATAACTCATATTGTAATATTACATCATTGTGAGGCTCTGGAAGGCTGGGACATTGATAGAAACCTTATAACTTAACACAAAATTAAGACAATTGAT